TACTTGCGATGGCCTCCAACCTACTTGCGATGGCCTCCAACCTACTTGCGATGGCCTCCAACCCAAAAGCAGAACATACAAGAATGTGGTCTTCCATCGCAACACGACCTTGTCTGCTGAGAACACCACCGGGCGGAGCCGCTTTGCTGGCCGCTCGCTGGCCCTTTTGACCGCAGCCTGCTCGACCTGAAGCCACAGCAAATAGCTCTAGCTTTGAACAAAAAGCCTTCACAGTTTTTGTCTTACAAAGACACAAGGAAAGGACACAGGCAAAACATACGTCAAAAGGTTTCGAACGAAAGGAACCAAAGGTCCAAGGAGACTCTGTGAGCGTGAATCCGACATCCTTTCTGTGTGCAGGAGCAGTGTCGACAAACCCGGCGAGGACGGCGCTTCGTCAGAAACGAGATCGGTAAAAACACCAAAAATGAGCAGTGATTATATCTGATTTCATGTGATTTCTTGAAGCCGTCATGGGTAGGAGCAAGGACGCTACTAGGGGCTCCTGGCATCGCCACTAGGAACAAGGACGCTACTAGGGGCTCCTGGCATCGCTACTAGGAGCAAGGACGCTACTAGGGGCTCCTGGCATCGCTACTAGGAGGAAGGACGCTACTAGGGGCTCCTGGCATCGCTACTAGGAGCAAGGACGCTACTAGGGGCTCCTGGCATCGCTACTAGGAACAAGGACGACTGAAATACAATGTGTTGCTCTTGATCCTGCCCTTCCACATATAACATGGTGGACAGATGGATCGGTCTTTGCTCAGCAATACTTTTGGATCACTTCTGCGGCCTATGCCATTTTTGACGAATCAGAGACCTGCATTGCTGCGGGGCCTGTTAACCACTTGGCCCTGTCTTCTTATTCAGCTGAGCTCTATGCTCTTATGGTGGCTGCGTGTTTAGCACCTGCCGGTGTCACGGTTTACACTGACTGCCAAACGATTGTAAACATGTTTCAGACCATGATTACCACAAAGATTGTCTCTATGCAGTGGAGTCACAAACAGTGGTGGGATCGCATTTTACAAGTTTGGGCAAACAAGTTTCGCTGCAAACATGATCTGCTCCAAGTGCAGTGGATGCCTGCGCACCTTTGTGATCATGTGCCATTACGGATGCTGTGGCTGCTTCAGCTGGATGGCCCAAGCAATTTTTACGCTGCAACAGGTTGGCTGATGCCAAAGCTAAGGCTATTGCAAAGGCCTATTCTGTGATTGATGTTGATCTACTTCCTCAGGTGCAGTCCGCAGCCCTTGCACGACAGACAGCACTTGTTTGCCTCAATCAACTTATTGGATCCGATGGTATTGTGAAACCTGTTTTTGTGACTAAAGAAGACAGTGCCCCGGTCGGTGCTTGTGATGATGTTCGCAGCCGTTTTCCTGAATGGGATTGGGCAGGTGACCCAAGTCCATACACATGGGAACCCTCCTCCACTGCTCAGGACCGTGAAATTTTGGCTCCGTTTCTCTCCCCTGCAGACACGGAATCTGTGGTGAGTTTTCTGCTGGGTTTGAAGTGGCGCCGTGATGACGCAGTTTCGGTCGCCTATGTGGAGTTGGCTCATTTGTTTGTGCTCAGGAAATTTACCCTTGAGGCCTTGACTGGGGACTCCACATTGGGACAATTGATTCGGCTGTTGAAACAATGGTGTGCTGCTTTGTTTCAGCAACCTGAACAGACACTCCTCCCTGGCATCCATCATCGAGATGGTATTCATTCATGTGGCAGAGCAATTCCGAAGGGTATGATTGCAAATGCCCGACCTTGGATCTCAACCTGTGAAATGGAGTCCTTCGCTTCTAAGCTCATCGCTGGCGGAGGGCGCACTTTATCGACGTGGGATTTTCCCCTAGATGGCTACGGTTCTTAATTCGTTTGTCTCTTCTTTTGGTCTTGTCCAGTGTTTGACCATTTTTCGCTATGCTTCCAGAGTGTACATAGCGCTGCCATCGCGAGACATGGCTTGAGTGATCGCGAACAAGGACGCTACTAGGGGCTCCTGGCATCGCTACTAGGAGCAAGGACGCTACTAGGGGCTCTTGGCATCGCTACTAGGAGCAAGGACGCTACTAGGGGATTTCTTGAAGCAAGAAGCTACTAGGGGCTCCTGGCCATACTACTAGGAGCAATGTTCGCTACTAGGAGGAAGGACGCTATTAGGTTTGGAGGCCATCGCTCTTTTTGTTTGGAGGTCCCTACAAAACAGCCAGTTCGGAGCTCCCAAGAAGTCACGCTGCACCATAGGTTTGCACTACAACATGCACTGTTCGACGTAATGCCGCTGCCTCCAACTTAATAGCGTCCTTGCTCCTAGTAGCGATGCCCTTTGTTCCTAGTAGCTTCTTGTTCCCAGTAGTAAGGCCAGGAGCCCCTAGTAGCTTTTTCTTCTTCTTCTTCTTCTTGTACTTTCGTGGCCATCCTTTCTGTATCTACCTTTGCTTCTGCCACACATCCTTTGCTGGCTTCTTCATACACGTTGGACACCAACTTGCGCAGCCATATGATCCGTTCAGCACATGTGCAAAATGTCTCCAAATGTGTCCTAGGCATTTCATGCATGCATAAAGGATTGTCTCAATACGCGAGGTGGCTCATGCAAAAACAACAACTGCAGAACATTCACTGCTCCACGATCAGCCAAGTGTGGTTTCAGCGCGCGAGTGTGTACAGAATGCCGAAAACTCTTAGTGGTTGGAGGTTGCTGTTAAGGTTTGGGTGCAGAAGAGGCTAAGAGCTGTTTAGCAACGGTGTGATGAGCATTTGCGTGAGACTTGGTGTCGGAGAACGCCATAGCCGCAAGAATCACTACGGCTCGTTCCGTTTCTTGCGTGAAATCCGGATGCACTTCTGCAAATGGAGTGCGCTTGCCCAAAAGGCGGTATGGAAAACGTTAACAAGTAGCTGCTTTGCAAAAACACAGGCACAGGCTGAGGACGCGAAAGAAGGGGATGGGTTTGGCACAAACGACAGCCCGGACCAAGATTCTTCCGCCCTGAAAGACGAACGAATTTTGCCCCGCTCCCCCCCCTCCCTACTGAATTAAATAAGGAATTGAGGTAGCTACTAGCTGCAAGTAAGCTACTACCGACAGGACGCAGGATAGCTCGGCTTCTTCAAGGAAGCTCCCCCCGCTGCCCTAAAGGCGGCGGGGGAAGCTTCCTTGAAGAAGCGCTCACACTAATGATTTGGTTCCTAGACTTTTAAGGACACTTATATAACTAATAGCGATGCCCTTTGTTACTAGTAGCTTCTTGTTCCTAGTATGTGACGACTCGAAGAACTTGACGCCACGTGATGAGGCACCTCATGCAAATGATGCCTTCCTTTTTTACAGCGGGCAGTAGCTGCAACCTCACCAAATAAGTGATGGTTTGCCGAAGGGTTTGCCCACATGCCAACACGCGCGGCTTTGCGCAACAGTCAAGCGACTCTTCATGCTTGCATCTAGTGATGTTTGTGAGACTTGTACAACCTGCCTGTGCAGGCAAGGCTGTTGCGCGTTTTCTGGTACAGTGCTTTGCTCTTTGGTAATAGGAGGCACCTCGCAGGGAACAACTATGTACTGGGGACACCATATTGGTCAGATATTCTATGATGAAGATATGTGGATGCGGTCCTTTTGAAGGCCCTTGCGCCAGCTACAAACTCTGCTTTTGCGGCTGTCCATGTTGTCCCGTGTTTCAAGTTGGCCATCACGTGCGAAGATGTGCGGGTGCTGATAGGCAGCCTTCACTCATGTTTGATTTGCAACCCACGGGCGAAAATTCTGTTGGTACACATCAAGTTTTGCTAGGTAAGTTGGTGTAGTTTCTTTCCCTGGACTGATTAGCGAGCGTACAGAGACTTGGGGGCCAAGGAGAACAACAGCTGCGCTTGCTGGTTCAGAACCAGGATCGGAAAGGTTTAATCATACTGCCATACTGCGAAATGCACAACCTGGAAAGCAATGGCGCTTAGAAAGAACGAACTACTCGAAGCTACTATTCTGCAGCCTGAGTTATTGAGTGCTGCTTGTCGGCGCTCCGAACGTTTGGTTCCTGGCGAGAGTTCTTCCAGTCTTTTGCGAGCAAGATGTGCACATTTTCTCTGCAAAAACGCTACTAGGAGCAAGGACGCTACTAGGGCTCCTGGCCTCGCTACTAGGAGCAAGGACGGTAGTAGGGGGCTACAAAAACTTTTGATTAACCGTGCTTGCTGCTACGATGCATTGCGACCAAAGACATGGGTCTTTGCTTTTTGTGTACTTCCACCTTGCCCATCCCCCTGCAGCCCCGATACTCGGCCCGCTTTTTGGCAAACCAAGAGCTGTGAACGAAAAAATCGTTAGTAGGTTGGAGGCCATTACAATTAGGTTCCCATGACAATTAGGTTGGAGGCCAAACTGAATGCTTCTAAGACCGTGGCCGCAGCTCGCAATTCATCTGCAAAGGTCCGGATGTTTGACATTGTCATGTTGATGTAAAAAATGCAACTGCCGTTAAAACAACGGCCTTTCAAGGTAACATCTACTTGGTTTTTACTGGTAAACTGTGTGGTAACATCATCAGTTCCAATGACATGCTGGGAGCTTCCATGTTTTGTTCATACCCATGTGTTGCCCAGTGCGAAGATCTGCTTATACCAGCCAACCCACTGGTTTCTGACAATATGTGGGTGAGTACCTTGGAATTCAATGAACACACTTGAAGTATGTTTCCAGGTAATTGCTTAGGGTTTGTAAGAACCCAAGGCATGAAATTTTTGTCACTTTAGCTTCTGTATGTCTTAAATGGTTTGCTTGAGCCTCATCGGACGTTGGCGCCAGAGATAATCGGAATGGTCAAACTGTCAAGTACCGTCACAGAGTCACAAGCACTTGGAATCTGCCGTCACATTTTCGCCCGCCCAATAACATGTTCACCTACTAGCAGTATCTGCACCTCCTAGCGACGGCCTGCGACGGCCTAAAAGCAATAGAATGTTTACCTAGCTTCTCACGGGAAGTTGGCTTCCATTCCGAGAGAAAAAGGCGCGGTGCCTGACAAGTTTGTCTCAAAGTCTCATCTGTTTAGATCCGGGAGTTACACTGTGGCGACTGAAATTCACTTGTTGATTGACGAATAGACAAATCAAATTCAGTTCCAAATAGAAGCAGCTGCAGCTACTAGTAGCAAGAAGCTTCCTTGGGAGTCGTTTCACTGGGAATCGTCTGCAGTAACAAGAAGCTACTAGGAACGGTCTTTGAAGCTTTCTAATAACTTGAAGCTACTAGGTGGAGGCCATCGCTTCTAGGTTGGAGGCCATGGTCGCTATTAATAAGGTTGGAGGCCATCGCTTCTAGGTTGGAGGCCATTGCTAGTAGGTTGGAGGCCATCGCTAGTAGGCTGGAGGCCATCGCTATCAGGTTGTAACCCATTGCTATTAGTGTTTCTTCTTCGTTTCAAAAACAACCGACAATCCAAGTCATCTTAAGATGCACAGTTTTCTTTTTCTGAGTTCTTGCTTGTCTTCTGTGAGGTGGCATGAGTTTTGCACCTGCCCAGTCCACTGGCGGTGGAAAAAAGTTGTTGAACTACGAACGAGAACGCTGCTAAAGGGTTGAGACCACTTTTGGTCCCTTTTGATATGAATCTTTTTGGTTTGTCAAATCGGTTGTGAAAAGCAAGTCAAGAAGAACTTACGCACTTGAAGAACATCATTCGTGAGGGAAAATCCTTAGTTAGGGAACTTGCTACTTCCCTTTTTGATAAGTTGGTGCTTTTTCTTCTTGATTGCTTTGTTCTAGTAGTGCATGGTTCTTCCTCCTCCTCCTATCTTACTACTCAGTCTATTTTGCGATCCGTCCCATCTCTATATGGTCTGTTCAATGAACATCTGTGAACCTTCATTTACCTGCTCTCCTTCTTAGTAATTTCTCCTATGCTTGTTGAATAGCTTCCCTTCACTAGCTAGCTTCTTCTCTTTATAGTTACTCAGTGCTTCCCGTGCGAATCTATTTGCACCATGTCTCCTTTGCCTCTTTCGGCTTTCTTTGCTGCGGCGCTTTTCTTCACAAGTTCTTTCTATTCTTTTGGCCCAGTAAGTAGACTTTCTATGTCTTGCTTGGCTCTTTTTGCTACTATCCAAAGTCTTCAAGTGGTACGAAGAGATACTGAGAATCACCTAAAGGAAACAATAACGAGAATACAAAGATCTAGAATATAAAAGTATTCGACAAAATGCAAAAGGAGCTCCCTTCCTCTTATGAAACTCTTCCCAGTAATACACTCAATTTCCAATCTCATGCTGTTCTTCAATACCTCTTCTCCTTCTTGATTCTCAACTCTTCTTCTTGAACAACTCAGGAGCTTAATATGACGCAGAAAGGCAACTTGAGAAAGAAACAAAACCATCGAGAACAGGGAGAGGTAGCCAAGAACGAGTACCGAGAGCTAGAAAAAGGATACTAATCAAGGATGGAAGAACTGCTTTTGAGATCACAATTCAGAAAAGGAAGGAATAGAGCATGGTGGGTGCAACCAAGTGATCCAATTGAGATATGCAAAGGATAGGGGGGTGGAGGGGTGAGATATTGATATTGAAGGCCGTGCTTAGAATTCCACAACGAAGCGGTTCTCAATAGTCTTGGCTGGACCCAAAGCCAAAAGAAACGGATAATCTGTGGTATCAGCCTCGGGTTTTGTCGTTTCTTTTCGTTTGTTTGGTTTCAACCTTCCAAAGACCAGCAAAGCGTTTTCCAACCAAAATGCACAAACCTTTCTGGGCTTTGGGAAGCATTGCACTTGAAGCCCAACCGGAAAGCCTTCAACCGTGACATGGGGTCAAAAACAAATTGTCAGGTATACCCAAACAAGCATTTGAACCAGAAAAAAACGGTGTCACCCAAAAGCGTCTCACTTGCTGTTTTCCGTGTGTTTCTTTCTTTCTCCTTCGCTGGTTTTCTCAAGAGGGCGATTGAATTTTTGGCTTCAGAAGTCGAACGACTCAAAACATTTAGTGTCTCTTTTGTCTAAAAGCTTGTTTGAGCCAAACGGCAAGAAACACAATATGTATTCTTTTGACATACCAAACAAGGTTTCACCAAAAAGTATTGTTCATTGCAGAAAGATTTCCTTTGTTTCTTTGGTTCGGTTGGCTTTCTTCTGAGGTTCTTTGGCTTTTGGCTGGAAACACTTCAAACAACACAGCTGCATGGATGAATTTAGCATTTCAACTACCCCCAAAACACAAGGAAACCAAAAAAACAACTTTGAGGTAAACGCATTTTTCTGATTCAACACATTGGTTTTTGTTTATTTTTGGGGCGTGAACTCTTTGCATCTACAAACGGCCGTTGTTGCGCCTGAGGTTTCTGCTGATTCTGGCCTCAACAGGGCTCAGCAATTCAAGAGTCCGTGCTTTTACAATACTATCCTCTGCACACCAAGACTGATTGGTGATGTATTTATATCAGTTACTATATACATGTATATTACGATATAAAATGTCTCAATCTGTTGAATGGAGGGCGAAAATTCCAAACAAAAAACACTTTAGACTCTAGACTTGAAAAATGAACTTAAAAAGTGAACGTCTAGTTTGATAGACCCTGTTTTCAGCCCGTTTGGCCGCAACCCTGCTGGAGACCCAATACGCCTGCGCCGAAGTCTTTCTCAAACTGCTTTTTCAAGGCTTTGCCCCTAGGAAGTGTAGCATGGTTCAGCGGCCATCTAGCTTGCTAAGCTGCCACAAATCCATCAAAGTAATGGAGTTTCATCTCAAAATGTCATCTACTTGCGGCTGATTGTGTGCTTGGTGCGTTAATTCAAGAAGCCCAGCCTGTATTTACAATACATGACTCACATGACCTTCTGTGAATTTCCTTTAGCACATTGACAAGTGGCAACCACTTCTTGATTCAGGGCTCTCACGCACGTGAGAAGTCTTGGCAATCAATGGAAAGGCTCAACCTAATCAAGAAAGCTTGACATTCAATTATACTGGGCTTCCGGCAAGGCATCCCAATTCTGCTCATCACTCATTTGTTGAAACCCTGACCTGCGGCATGATGAGAAGATCTACACAGGAAAAAACATTAAACTCAGGAAAGCAAAACGGGATGCTCTGTCTTGACATCAATGATTGCACCAGGCCTGTGTTGCAGTAATTCGTAGTGTCAAGGAACAAATGGTAGATGGGCAGAATGGTCTCGCCCGTCTCAGATTCGGCACGATGGCAACTCAAATTTGCCATGTTCTTGCACTTGCCAAACTCTACTTAGGAGCAGGTATACAGGTGACAAGAAATTGCACAATTGAGCTTTAGAGTGCGATCATCTTTGGCATTTGCATCAGCAAAGTGGGTATACAAAGCTTGTTTCTAAAACATCACGTGGGTGTAGCCCTGAAGTGAGCCAACGATGTCATGTTCAAACGGCTGGGAAGAGAGAATCTCTGCAAAAGAAGGGCTTCAAGGCTTCTTGTGATGCGTTGTTATGCAGAAGCTGCTGTGCTGCTTACTCGGCCTCTTGTAGGAAGAACCCAGTCCGACCCAACCCACTTTAACTTCATGGAGATCCTTTGTGCCAAGTACTGGTTCCTCATTTGGAGGGAATGGGGGTCACTGAACCGAAATCACACTCCCACTCACCCCAGTCTCATCAAGTTACTCTGAGCTCATGCGAGTTGATCGCTGCGGATCCTTGGCTGCGCATCCTGGCAGCGAAGGAAACAGCAGCTGGGTTTCATCAAAAGAGCCGAACATATGATTTTGTGGTTGGGGAGGGGCAGATCCAAAATGCTCTCTGGCTGTCTTGGATCTTGCAATGATGCACAAGCCTTTCTCCCTTGATCCTTGATGGCTTGCTGAACGGTATAATGACATGCAGACAGCAAGAGCTGCCACCAGTGGCAGCAATAATGTTCTATTGGGGCGAAAAGAAACAATGATTGCTACTTGAGGCCAAGGGGGGGCGAAAGCTAGCGCTCCAGAATGGGAAAGTGGAGGGCAGCGAGGTAGGAAAAAACACGGCGCTCTTTTTGGAGGCAGGGGTGAAGAGTCCTTTATATGTGGCTCTTTGCCCGGATCCTCCTGCGAGAGAAGAGAGAGAAGAGAGACGGAAAGACGAGAGACAGAGAGGGGAGAGAGAGAGAGAGAGGAGAGAGAGGAGAGAGAGATGAGAGAGATGAGAAAGAGATGAGGGAGAGATGAGAGAGATGAGAGAGAGATGAGAGAGATGAGAGAGAGAGAGAGTGAGAGTGAGAGTGAGAATGAGAGTGAGCGAGTGCGGCCGCAAGATACGCAACGCTAACCGCATGCCAAAGAGCGACGACAGGACGGAGTCGAACTTGCGAAGAGGGAGGAGGGAGGGAGGGAGGGAGGGAGGGAAGACAAGGAGGAGGAGAGGGGAGGTGGAGAGGGGAGAGGGGGGGGGGAGGGGGGGGCTTCGACCTGAAAGATCAGGGGTTAGGATTTGCACCCGATCGAAAGAAACCTTGCTATCGCAAGAGTAACTCCAGCTAGCTTCGCTAGCTTTCGTGATGAGCAAAATGTTGGGTTGCTTGTCTGTGTGCGCAGCTTTTTACGGAGTGCTTCCACAGTCCTATGGTTGAGAAAGGATCTTGGTATCTTACTAGTAACAAGAGGCCTACTAGACTGTCTTAGAAGCTTACTAGTAACTAAAAAACTTGTTGGACTGTCTCTGCTTTCTTACTAGTAACAAGAAGCTTACTAATGGGGATAATGTAGTGGAAGAAGGGGAGACTTGTGGAGTTGGCGCTCTGAACTGGCGGAGATGATGAGCCTGTGGATGGTGAGACAAACGAGGCCAGAGAGACTGCTTGACAATCGCTTCTTCAGCTTTCTTGTGGCCTTTAAGAACCTGGCGCGATCGCGAAAGAAATTATCATGGGAGTTTGAATCCTTAAGGGGGTTGTAGTTGTAGCAACGGTCTTTCTTTAGTTTATGAACTCAATTCCTTTGCTCAATGTATCTGCCAACTTGAAGTCCACTGGAATAAGTCAAGCAAACCCTTGAGCCTCATAGAGGGGCTGTTTTTGCTCACCCTTGCCACCGCGGCCTTGGGCGCAACTGTCACAAAACCAACAGCAATCTTGCGCCCTGGGAGAAATGTTGTTTCTTTACATTGCTTAAACGCTTCTGAAGGTGTGAAAATCTAATCTAAAGTGTCCACAGGCGTTTCTTCACGCTCCGAACCTCGGCCTTTGTCAGCGCCAAAATGGCGTCAGGTCCAACTCTCAGACTCCAAAACTGCAGTCTGATCAATTTTCTTGTCTTCAGCACCAAGACTTAACAGGACCTGAACATGATCTAAAACCTAAAGCCTTCAAACATTGCAATGTCTCATGGCCTCCGGTGCACGGGCACCTATGCCATCACCTGGCTTGGGGATAGCTCAATTTTGCGCAAAAGGCAAGCTGATCAGTGTGCCACTTCAATCTAAACTTATTCAATCATCACACTCGTCACAAGAAGCTGGAAATCACAAGAACTCCCCTGAAGCCCCTTAAACTCAACCCTTGGCCGTCATGGCTCTGGATGGCTACACATGTGATCATAATAAGTTTCAGCATCTGGGGAGCTGGAAGCTGAGAACTGGCGACTTTCTAGTACAACTTTAGTACGCGGAGTAATCTGGCGAGGTGGAGGCTGACAACTGGTAGTACAATTGTAGTACGCGGAGGAACCTGGGAGCTGGAAGCTGAGAACTGGCGACTTTGTAGTGCAACTTTAGTGCGCGGAGTATCTGGGGAGCTGGAAGATGAGAACTGGCGACTTTCTAGTACAACTTTAGCGCGCGGACCAATCTGTGGAGCTGGAAGCTGAGAAAACTGGCGACTTTGTAATACAACTTTAGTACGCGGAGCAATCTGTGGAGCTGGAAGCGGAGAACTGGCGACTTTCTAGTACAACTTTAGTACGCGGAGCAATCTGTGGAGCTGGAAGCTGAGAACTGGCGACTTTCTAGTACAACTTTAGTACGCGGAGTATCTGGGGAGCTGGAAGACATGAGAACTGGCGACTTTCTAGTGCAACTTTAGTACGCGGAGCAATCTGTGGAGCTGGAAGCTGAGAACTGGCGACTTTCTAGTACAACTTTAGTACGCGGAGTATCTGGGGAGCTGGAAGCTGAGAACTGGCGACTTTCTAGTGCAACTTTAGTACGCGGAGTAATCTGTGGAGCTGGAAGCTGAGAACTGGCGACTTTGTAGCGCAACTTTAGTACGCGGATGAGTCATCTCTCGCGGCTGAGTCATCTCTCGCGGCTGCTCTGGCGCGCCTGCAGCTGAGTCATCTCTCCCGGCCACCCAGCTCTCTTGAGAGGTTGACAAATTTTAGCTAATCTGCTTACTTAAAAGTGCTCATTTCGATTACTTTTCTTTCAGATCTAGACATCCGTGTTCTGGAGACCGTGTTTTGAGAGGTTGACAAATTTTAGCTGATTAGCTTCGTGGCTAGACAGGCTATCACATCATAGTTAATGTCTAGCTCCATTTAGCTTTAGTCTCAACAGCTCTAGCTCCAATTAGCCCTAGTTTCAATAGCTCTAGCTCCAGTTAGCTTTAGTTTCAACAGCTCTAGCTCCAAGGTGGCGCTGTGTTGGTCAAAAGTCCGGAGCGCATGCGTCTGGCTGAGGGACACGCATGTTGGAAAGAACCGGGGCACTCCTATA